ATTGCTGTCAAGCCATATATCAGGTCGTGAAATAAAGGATTTATTTGTTACGGAAAGACAGCATTAATATTCAAAAATCTAGAAAACTGTTCACTTCCTAAAATAAAAAAAGGAAACTGTAAAACAAGTACAAATACATTATTTATTGGACTATTTCCTTAATATTTGCCTACAGACTCTAACATTTTCTGTACAGGTACAGTTTTGAGAGTTTTTATATCTTCTTGCCAAATAAGTGATTTCAATTGGTTACAAAGCGTACGGAGTGGATGTTTACAAATTGTGTTTCACATATTTTTTGCATGTGACATGATTTTTAAATGTTATATTTCAAAACGAAGCAAATTATCGAAATGATAAAAGAACATCTTTCCTTTAAAATGTTTTAAATTCGACCACTTTTGGCTCAAATTGTTGAAACGTTAAAATACGAAAAAGTTGGAGCAATATTTATCCAGATTAAAATATGGAAATTGTATTTAATCATTAGATTCCCAATATTTATAACAGCAATACTTAATTTTCCATCAGTGACAATACTTCGTAACTTAACGCCATCCTTTGCAAAGACGACGCAGATTGGCTATGTATGTTTTGAGTGTAGAATCAATTTCTAGGAAAGACACAAGCAATTCCCGTATGAGACAGACAGGTAGTAACATTACAACTTTTAGTTATTAGCGGTTCGTATGTGTTTAAAGTATTCAAGCAGTTAATAATCCTATTCGTTCTCGAAGTCACGTTACAACATGTTACAACTTGTCGCTTCGCGTACCGTAACACTCCTTTGATGTGAAAACCGCCAATTGATGGTTCGAAAAGAACGCGATACACGTGCCTTTTTTGGTAACTTGTAACATGCAACGTTTTCCCGTATCCACTAGCTGTAACGTTACATGTTCGCTGTAACGTTACGGATCATTTATGACAAACGGATACCCGCCACCTTAAGGGGCCATGGAAAGAAGAAATATGTTGGCTATGCGCTCAAACAAGTGCACTCCTTTTAAATGCCCATCAAACCCCAGTAAGTCTTGCACATCTTTCTTAGTTCCCGTACATTATTGGTACATCCTGTTACATCTCATGTATACAACATAAATCAGCATGTGTTGCGATAGAAGCCTTAAAGCAATTTATACCTTAATGACGTATAAATTTGTATTTATAAGTAAATAAAGTTCAACCTGGCAAAAAAACTGTTGCTTTATCGGTCACACATAAGCGCGTGTTTCTTTTGTTTTTAATTTGTCAGATTTGCATGCTGGTAGCATGAATACTTGTTATGGCAAACAACATTCATAAGGATATAATGTAACTTACACTGCATATTGTGATAGATACCAACAATGAATAACAATGTTAGTATTAAATAAATAGCGAGATTAAAATGTTTCAGAAATTTGATACCTTTATTTGTTTTCGATTTGTAGAGCGATTTCTATTTTCGGTAATCTCTGTTTGTCTGGCGTAATAAGTTGAAAGTAAAATTTAAAAAAATGCTTTTTAAAATATTCAGTGACAGAAAAATTCTGGATATTGCTAAGAGTCCAGGGAACGAAGAAAAAAATAGGGTAAAACCTGCGAATACTTTCGGATAAATCCGATTTTTATGAATATTTGGAATTAAGCTTATTTCACCCTGTAGATGAAAAGTTATATATGCTTCATATGCGCTTTCTTACTTTTAGGGGATGAAAACCACCCCTTATGCTAAAAAACTGAATAAATATAAAAGTAGGTGTTATATAGATTAAAATTGTATCTTAATATATAGAATGAATACCTATTGTTTTATATTGTGGGTTATAATTTACGTTATTTTTATAATGTTTCAACCACCCTTAATGATAAAAATATAAAATTAATAGTTTCTTTGACCTTAAAATATTTTTATAGCGCATATATTGTAGCTAGAAATCTTTTCAATAGTTTATGGTACTATAAATAATTACAATTACAATATTTCAACCCTTAAAACTAAAATATTAAAAAAATAGATTTATAGTTTGAAATGATTTGATAGTACAAACTGGATAAATTAAATTCTTTTACTTGTTTCTAATAGAATTTATAATTTATCGCATTGTTTTATTCAAACACGGAAATGGCAGATATGCACTTGAAATACCTGTCGAGAAGGAAGTTTTCTATTCGGGTATGCTGCCACATACAGACGCCTCGCTTCTGATGCATTTCCAGCCGCACGGCCGTACATAAAGTGCATATCTGCCATTTCCGTGTTTGAATATGACTCCATTTTATGAGTTGCAATAATGTTGTATACTTAAATTTTCCACTCACCANGTAGAATGACACGCTCTTTCAAATGGCATGGTCAAAATTGGGGGTTGCTATTTAAAAAAATTGTCGATGACGTCATATCTCGAACAACGATGACGTCACAAATATGGGTCGTATATCAAAAAGTGCCTTTTTTAAAAACAAAATCGACGTGCCAGGGGATTTTTTCGAAAACTTCTCAATTTAAAAAATAATGAATTTATTCGTTACTTCTCGAAAGCACTGTATAAACAGCTCAGCGCGCGTGTCATCTCATTACTTCTTAACAACTAATAAAGTTCGTATCGCATATACGCGTACGGTCAAGAGTACGACGCGGGAAATATTCCAACAAATTCTATCAACATGTCTAGTTTAAAAAAGCGGAAAGTGGACACAGAATGTCGTCAATTCCAAGACAAATGGACTGATGACTTTTTTACCCTGCACAGTGGTAAACCTATGTGTTTGTTGTGCAGTGAAACAATTTCTGTTTTAAAAAAATACAATATGAAGCGGCATTACTCCAGCAAGCATTTCGCTCAATATAATTTACTCACGGGCCAGTTAAGAAAGGATACAAAATTTTTGTGGCTTTTTTATTCACTACTACCTACTTATTTCTTGCCTACAGCCCGCGACCTGATTAAATCCCGAAATTACGCCCTCAGCTAAGCAAAGGTTGCCCATACCTGGTTTATGGTATTATCAATCATTTATTACAATATTTCAACCCTTAAAAAACTAAAATATTAAAAAAAATAGTTTTTAAAGTTCGGAATGATTTGATAGTCCAAACAGGATAAATTAAATTCTTTTACCTGTTTACAATACAATTTATAATTTATCGCATTGTTTTACCGTTAAAAAGCACCCCCAATAAAAAATATGATAATCCAATAAACAAAGCAAAATAAAATTGTTTTTTCGTAATAACTTTCTTTCTCGCGATTTACTTTAATTTATGCGATATTGAAAATAACTATCTCTCAATATTTTTTTCATGCAGAAAGTCATAATTTCAAATTTATGCTCCGAAAATTGAAGCGGAAGCTATTAAGACGATCCAAAAACGATTTTACGGGAAATTTCAACAGCTAAAAGTAGATACTGTAAAATTGAATATTTTTTAACGCATTATTTTTGAGATTTTTGAGGTTAAAGGGTTTGAAAAACATGACTTTCGCCCTCAGCTGCAAACTTCTAGCAGCGACATTTGACACAAATAAAAAAAAACAATATTCTGTGAAAAAAATCTAAACTTTTGTACTCTTGAATATTTTTCGTATCTTTTTTATTTTTATTTTCAAAAATATGTTATTTCTTTGGAATTATTATTATTTTTTTCAATCAAAACGTAATATTTTCAAAAATATGCTTTCTAAACCGCTTAAACTTGTATATGTATTGTTAGCACATAAAAAATGTAAATTGTATTAGAATTACCTACCTTTCATTTTAAATTTCGTCAGTTTTTGTACCGATTTTTTTTCCGAAGAAGCAAATTAACAGTTTTATTTTGATCATAACTCTTGTTAATTTTTATGCTAATGACAAAGTCAAGTTCATTTTAAAAAAAATTTAAAGTACTTTAAAAAATGTTCTGTGATTTTTTTTGAAAAATAGAATTTTTTTTAGTCATTTTACGTTAAAATGCTTCCAATTTAGTTTCTGGCGGACATGAAATTATTTTCAATCAACCATATCTCAGCACCTATTGCATCTACATCAATGAAAAAAAACTCAATCTTTTTCTTTTTCTATAACCTTCATTTTCTATGTGATGTTTTTTTTCATGAAATGTCTATTTTCAGAGTTATTCGACAAAAACTACTGAAAAATTTCTTTTTTTAATAAAAAATGTACATTTTCATTCACCAATAACTCTAACTATTGAAAGAAAATATTGACTTATCGAAAAATGTTTATAAGATACTTTTTGCTTAAAATTGATTGCTTTATCGATTCCCTTTATATTCAATATTTTATTTTTCACCTCCTAGAAAGGGTGGCTTCCACCTCCTGGGCAAAAGCGTTCATCGACACTATCTATAACTTTTGTCTCTTGAGCTATTTTGTACTTACAGTCCAACTTTCACGTCAATCGGTTCTATTCGAAAGAATTCGGTTCCCTAAGTCCTACGTAATACAGGATGTCTCGAATTGCACATATCAGTTTGACCTAAATATATCAAACTTTGGCTAATAATTTCCAAATAAAACTCAAAATTTTATTGAACAATGTAAATCTGTCAGCTAATGGCGGATATACTGAAAGTTACTATCGCAAAAAACCTCCAGAACTTACGTGCTTTAAAAAGAAACGAATTAAAAAAAAATATTACTGGTAGTTTATATACCCTGAAATTTAATCGACAATGGTACTTTTGTACTTGTACATATCATTTCTAACATATTATTTAATGAACTACTTATCAAAACAATTATGTAATTTACGAATGATAGTTTTAACAAATTTCAATAAACATCTAATCGGTGGCATAATATAATACTACAAACTTGTTTGATATGTGATTGTCATTATCAAGTTAGTTGTTTACCTAATAGGCAACCTTTACTTAACAGTTACTGCTTATTCATAAATTTGAATTCAATTTTTTTGAGATATTTAATGCACTGCTAGGTGAAATGAGAATATTCGGTATTTGCTATATTTATGTAACGAAAATCAATAAACATAAGAAGGTGCTACTTACATGAGAACAATCCCACAGTCTGGAATAATTCCACACGTAAAACCGGTTTCTACTTTATATTGCGAGGTAACAATAAATATAAACCTATTTGCAGAATAGTGATTTGGATTTCCGGGAAATTTAAATGTCTGTTATTATGCACTAATTTTTGTTAAGTTAACTAAATCGGTCACGGAATCATCTAGCGATCATCGTGCGCTCTTAATTTAACTATTTAGAGGACATTCATTCATAATCTTTATTGCAATTAAGTGCTGTACTGTGAAACGATCAAAATAATCACGATTAAGTCTTCATCTCTTATATGATTACATTCAAATATAGCACTTTGTTATACCCATACTTATTCCATATCTGTAGCCAAGACAACAAGCTAGATCATTCGTCGGTGGTCTCACCTACAGCATACTGATGAGAACTAATAAGTTCGAAACCGGTATATGTCTGGTGGTTCGACTGCTGAAAGATCCTAGCTGTTTACTAGTTACTGCGGGTATAATTCAATGTTGGTCAGAGCATAAGCTTTCACAGTAGTTTTCCGCAAAGACATTAGTTAGATGTAATACCTCGTAGGTTCACAGTAAACCTGTGACAAAGATGGGATATACTCTCCGTACATTTACAGTTTACAATCTTGTGCCAAAAATTATATTACATAATGAATAGAACTAAAGAACACAAGATTTAAAACAATCATTCAGTAAAACTAAGTAAATTTTTTCTGCTTTTTCTTGATTCAACAGACTTCAATAGTTTTGTTTAAGGTTAACTAGTTTGTAGTAGAATTGATTTAAATTTAGAAAATAAAGTTTAGTTGAATTATCTTTTATTAGACAACATTTAAATAAGACGTTCTTATAAAAGTTTCTCATTTACTTAATTTGAATTAAATTTTCATTTATATGGCCGTACAATACATCAATGCAGAATATGTATTATTAGTTTTTGGATAATGTGAAGGAAATGGTCGAGAGTGTGTCACATTGTACTCTGAAATATTTCCAAGTCGTCGTATACCAAGCCACCCAACGTTTGCTGCTGTGGAGAGACGTCTTCGGGAAATCGGTCGCTTTGCTCCTGACATCGCAGATTATGGAAGGCAGCATTATGTAAGGGTTCCTGAAGATGAACAAGATATTTTGGAACGTGTTGAAGAAGACCCAGAACTAAGTACGAGACGATTAAGTATAGAAATAGAAGTATCTAAAAATATTGTTATTGGTACTTCCATACCATAGCAGCCAGTTTAAGACCTTTCACCCCATGATCCTGAAAGGCGCCTAGGTTTTTGTCGATTTGTTAATAGGCAAAGAGAAATGGATTTTCATTTTGGGAACAATATTTTGTTTACCAATGGAGCGTGTTTCATAAGAAGAGCGTAACTAATTTCCACAATGAACACGTTTATGCAGACGAAAATCCGCACACAATGAAATTTAACATTTTCAACACGAATTTAAAATAAATGTGTGGGCAGGAATAATTGGAAATTTTATTGTTGGTCCTGGCATTTTACCACAGAGATTAACGGGAGAAATTTATTTGGAACATCTACAAGATACGTTGCCAGACTTGTTAGAGGATATACCTCCTCAACTTCGGAGATATATGTGGTTTATGTATGAAGGGGCTCCACCACATGTTTCATTACCTGTTCATAACCACTTAAGTCAACAGTACCCAAACAAATGGATGGGTAGAGGTAATGGCGCTCCTGTAGATTGGCCACCACGTTCCCCCGACTTAAATCCATTGGACTATTTTTATGGGGTCATCTTAACATCGTGGTTTACATGACATTGGTAGAAAACGGAGAGCAACTGTGGCAACGTCTTCAAGATGCAACAAATACTTTTGGAGGCGACGAAGAAATTATACAAAGAGTACATTTCAATTTTCTTCGTCATGTAACTCTTTGTATGTGTATAAATGGTGGCCACTTTGAACATCTACTATAACATATTTATTTTATTTGCATTCATGTTTTCCTTATTTCATTTTTGTGTCAAAATTGCTGCCAATGATTAAAACTACTTTCGAATAAGCCATGAGAGTAACGGAGTTTTATCACGAATCCCTTTTTTGTAGTAAATAATTTAATTAATCTAAATTTTATACTTAAAAGTCTTTTTTTACATTGGCGTAGAATTGTGGGAGGTGTACTCATAATTTTGATATGGGGTTTATTGTCCTATAGAGCAGTGTCAACTTACCAAATTTTAGCAAAATCGCCTAAGGCGTTATAAAGGACCCCGCACAAACCTTACGGTAATGGATTCCCGGTGGATCTCTCAAATTTTGGGAATAAACACTTCAGAACATCCTGATCAAAAGTTCTCATGGGCACAGAACCCGGAAACCGCTCCCAACCCCCCAAAATCACTCCCAAAAGACAGGGGATGCATTCAGCTCATTATACCATCAGACCCACACATGCAATATATGGATTCCGGTGTATTTTTGAGCGCTGGGCACGAATACGTCATCATTTTCGCTCTAGCACGTATCAGTCTTCAGAAAATCGCTGAAGAAGCTTCAGAAAACTGAAGAAAGGACATTATGGCCTGTGATTCACAAGCGATATGTGGTTTCCGGTGTATTTTTGCAAGCTGAGAACGATTCTGAGGTCAAATGTGCTTCAATTACCTTAAGCCTTCAACTAATTGCTGAAGAAGCTTCAGTAATCTTAAGAAAGAACGCCATGGTTCTACAGTGGTGTGTACATATCGCATGTGAATTACAGAACACAATGTTCTTTCTTCAGTTTTTAAAGCTTCTTCAGTTATAGCCAGTTACCCAACGTCGTACAAGCTCGCGTGGAAGTAGATGGTCTTCGGCTTAGGAGAGATCAGTAGGTACCCATTGATGAGAATGTTTTATCAGATTTTCCAATCCTAGATTTTGACTACTTACTTGATTTGACCGTGGATATATTCCAAGTAAAACTCGCTCCATCTTACATTCAAGACAATTTAGAAGGTGATGAGGGTTTGGAAATGGATCAAAAGCTGAACGAATCAGGTTTTATACACGTAAGAGTTAAATCCACGTTTCGCCGTACAACTATTCATCAAGAGTTTATTGCATATCATGCAGAGGAAGAAGCTATCGAAGAAGACGAGGAACCTATTATTGGATATTAATGCACATGTCAGTCTGGTGCAAGAACATTGCGAAGTTGCTGCCATGTAGCATGTGTTTTGTGGTACATGGGATATGCTAGATATCAACTTCATATTAAATATCCTAGTACAGTATTGCTTGAAGTGATAAATAATTCAAGATAATTTAATTAAAGGTTAAATTTATGAATGAATTAAAAATGTCAAGAAATACACCAAAAAATCACAGATAGATATAGACAGATACAGACAGACGTATTCACAGACTCAGACTCAGACAGACGCAGATACAGACATATGGAGACTCAGACAGACGTACACACAGATAGATACAGACTCAGCCAGATGTAGACACAGGCAGATGCAGACGCAGACAGATGCAGACGCAGACACAGATATATGGGACCAGAAACCCATTACGCCCACGCCGTTGGTCCTGGGTAACGCAGAAAATGGGTAACATTTTTGATATGAATCCGCATTTAGAGTTGTTGATGTAAAATTCTTCCGTTTTCACTAAAACGCTGAATAACCATGGTGTTCTTTCTTCAGTTTTCTTAAACTTCTTCAGCGATTTGCTGAAGACTGATACGTGCTAGAGCAAAAATGACGACGTAGTCGTGTCCAGCGCTCAAAAATACACCGGAAACCATATATTGCATGTGCGAGTCTGATACTTTTTTTGGTGGTGTAGTATAATGAGCCGAATGCGTCCCCTGACCTTTGGGGGTGATTTTGGGGGGTAGGGAGCGGTTTTCGGGTTTTATGACCATGAGAACTTTTGATCAGGATGCTCTGAAGAGTTCATTCCCAAAATTTGCGAGAGATCCACTGGGAATCCATTTCCATAAGGTTTATGCGGGGTCCTTTATAAAAAAAAAACTATTTCAAAATTGCAACTTCAGGGCCGTATACCGCCCAAACGGAGCAATTTTGAACTAAGGTAAGTTTAACTAAATCGACCTATTTTGAACCTCACTAAAGACCTTTTAGGGACACCCTGTATATAAATCTCTGGTTTTCTAGCATCACCCTTGAATTTTAAACAAATTGTGCTCTGTAAATAAATTTCGAAAATTAAGTAGGTTTTATCGTGCGATAAATTTAGAAATGCTCCAAAGTCATATTAACTTTAAAGACTCAAAACTGATTAGAATTACTCTTCCAAATTATACAATTGAGATTGTAACATTTGGATAATATTTAAAATTAGTTTTAAGAATCATTTACGATTTGGTTTTACAGAATATTAAAAGCATACAATTTCAGTGAAAGTCAATGCAATAGTCCCTATTAAAAGAAATTTTATGAAGCACTGAAAGTCTTTTCCTGACTAATAGTTCAGTCGGCAGAGGCCGAAAAGTTGCTGTTGGTGACATTTCCTTGATAACTCGGAAATAACTACACAGGAATACTTCAAATGATGAGTACAATAACAGGCTAATTTGCTGACAAAGTATTTTATCAGGAAAAAAAGTTATTAACAAATTGAACAAAATTTGCAATAACAAAGTCGCGAGATTGAAAAAACCGTATAAAACGTCAATTTTTTAAACTTGCTGAAAAAATGTCAGTTATAAACAAAAAGTGATAAAACTTTCGAAAACTATAGTTCAATATATATACAATAATGACGCTAAAACCGAAAATCAGGAAAGCAAAACTTTTTGTTCTATAAGGTTTTATACATTCATCGGCATCTGAAACTCGAGCAGGAGTTTTGGCTCCTTATGACATCATGTTGTATAACAAATTTTGTTCAAATATCTTTTCTAGTTCCGGAGGTACAAACATAAATTGATTTTTTCATGAAAATTTCAACACCCCGNCTCCATCTTACATTCAAGACAATTTAGAAGGTGATGGGGGTTTGGAAATGGATCAAAAGCTGAATGAATCAGGTTTTATACGCGTAAGAGTTAAA